GTCGCTGGTCATTCGTGTGATCAACTTTATTGTTGCCCGGGCCTTAAATGATCGACAGTTTAAAACCCTGCTGGATGAAGTTGGAGATAACTATCGTGGTCTGATTTTGCACAGCAAGGTACGTTTGTTGTCAAAAGGGAAGCTGGTTAGGCTTTTTTGCGGCTTTTCTGAACGAAACCCGGACATTCCTTGAAATGAAGGGCATTGAGCATCCTGAGCTAGCCGAAACTGAGTGGCTCCTCATGGATATGACCGAACATCTGAACCAGCTGAACGTTAAAATGCAAGGCAATGAAAATGCAGTGTTCTCCCTTCAACAAGCCGTGTTTGCCTTTGAAAACAAGTTGGAACTCTTTATCACGGATCTTAAAAAGAATCGCTTACTACATTTTGAAAAACTGAGTCAATATAAAGATACCTGCACAGTAAGTGAGCCCATTCAAAACGTTAATCTCCACCAACTAGATGGCTTCACATCTAGTCTCCTACAGTCGTTCAAAGCACGTTTTGGCGGGAGCATAGTCTTCTTTTTAAGTTCATCACCAATCCAACCGAATATTTATTGAATACAGCTGACCTCGGTTATATTCCTGGAGTCTGCGTTAGAGATTTCGAAGAAGAATTGGCTGACCTGATGGCCTCAGACATGTGGGTGAATAAGTTCAAGTCAATCAGTGAAGATTCGAAAGTATCGCACGATATAAATAGGAGTTGGCAAGCCAGCACATGTGGACAGAAAAGTAAAAAAAAATTCAACCCCAATACCAGTTGATAATCAAAACTAGGAACAAGTTTCCTGTCACATTCCACACACTGCAGCGTGTGAGAATTGCTGTAATGACCTTGTTTGCCTTTACGTATGCGTGTGAGCGGTCATTCTTACATTTTAATATATCTAGTCCACCCTATGATCACGTCTAACGGATGAAAGCCTCAACGCTTGCATGAAGCTTAACCTTATCAACTATCAACCAGACTACAACGCCATCAGCCATTCCATACAGCACCAGAAGTCGCATTAACATTAAGTATAATAAGAATATTATTTTAGAGATGTGCTTTGGGATAAAAAGTGACTTAAATGAGTGAATTTTCGAGTCTGGCGCCCCAGCTCGTCTTCGGACTAACAGGAAAAGTGCGACGAACAACCAAAATTTCAGAACTGCCGAAAAATAATAGTCATATAGGGTGAGACGTGATTGGTGGGTGTGGCCTCAGTTAGTGTCTGTCGTGCGGCCTCTGTTTTTTGCATCGGTCTTTGACGTACTTATTTGGACTTCCTAGCCAGCTTGTAGTCTATCCTATTAACAGGAGACCTCAATGACGATGATCGATTTACAATCCGAAATAGGGCTGTCCACGCCCTGAAGGATCGGAATCAATTTTCATCTCTATCCTCTGAAGAAAAGAACACACTTGAGAACTTGAAAAATGATGAAAATATAATCATACTTCCGGCAGACAAGGGAGGCTCAACTGCTATCTTGAACAAATCGGACTACAAACAGAAAATTTTATCACTATTAGAAGATAGCTCAACATATAAGACTTTTCCCACGGACCCTACCAAGAAGCAAATGTCATCTATTGACAAAGTGCTGAAACGCCTTAAGGAGACGAAACAACTGTCAGGAGGTGTCGCAAAGAGCCTGAAACAATCCAAGCCAACCATCGCGAAGATCTACGGATTACCCAAAGTTCACAAACCGTAAGTCCCTCTGCGACCGATAGTATCATTAATCGGTGCACCGAACTACAAAAT